GCCCATAGACAATGCATAGGGGTATCGCTTAGCACACGCAATCAATGGGCACGGTAGCGCCAATTACCTTTCTTCAACCCCTTCCGGCGACAAAATTCAACCGTCTCGTATTCCTCTGAGAGCATCGACGTGAATGAAATTTGGCATACTTCTTCCTCTCTCAATACAGAATCACTCAAGCAAATTTGAAGCTCCATTTTCTCGGGGTTGTGGAGATCACTGAATCTCGCTTTTGGGAGATGTGAAAGTCGTTCCGGTATTTTTTTATTATCCTCCCCTGGGTAGCTGCTCCTGGGAAGATTTTGGAGGAAAGAGATCAACCAAACGAAAGATATTGACATGGAGGTGACAAAAAATCTCTCTTTTTTTGGTTTCAGTGCGGAATTTCGCCATGAAAAATGAAATTAGATGCCGTTAATTTCGGCTTAGCGCGATGGGTCCAGTCCCGTCCTCCAGTGTTGCCGACTATCGTGCCATAGTTATCCCAGATTCATGACTTCATCGGCCTTAGTATCGTTGTCTGTATCTTCTCTTTTTAATATAGGAGACATTAATGTGCTGAATTCATGGGATGAACTGCGATTGAAGCGGTGTTTTGCAGTGGCCGATCGATTCGGTGGAATACGGAGATATCTCATTCGGACATCCCTAAATTAACATGATGGCGGCCAGCTTCCATGTCATGCTCTCTAAAGGCACCTTCTCAGAACGAGTCGAGACGATTCGAGGAACTCTGAATAGGCCTAATGTTTCCCGACAGCACCAAAATCGCTCATGAAACTCGTGAACATTTGGTCTAACGTTACAAGTTCTCTGTTAAATGTGGTATGCGAGACTGAATAGGACTACGATTGGCCTAACGTTACACGTCCTCAACGAGGTGTCTCGAAGACCAGGGATTAATCCTTATAGGCCTAATTGGTCCGTAGGATTGAGTTTCTTTTGAACGAAAAAAGGCAAGAGGCAACCATACTACCCACCCGCACTCACTACCCTTACTAACAGTGGAGTGGGCATTGAGAGCGTGGGAACGTATGTTGACTTCCCTCTCCCCGTTGCAAAACTTGCTAAGTCGCAGTTTCATGCCTGGACCTGCACAGACAGGCCAAACAGACTCAGTTACCCTTTGGACGTTGCCCTCGTTCGTCTCTCTCTCTGCATCGCGATCTCTATTTCCACCACTCTACCCTACATTTCCCTGTCTCCTTTTAATCTTTATTTTTAAATCTCAAATGGATAATCACCGCCAATCAAAATTAACATAGACAAAAGAAAATGATTTCCTTGAAGAAGGAACCGAAGGAAAGCAAAAAAATTTCCTTTTTTTAAAAACGTTAATCATCTCTCAATGTGGGTAATCCAGAGTGTTACTTATGAGCGTTTAATAAACGAGTTTCTTTTTCAAATTCATTTTACTTGTTTACTTATCTCATTATTGAAAGAAATTATGAAGGTGGTGGGGGGAGGCATACTTTGTCACGTAATTTTTTTTGGGGGGTCGAAGCTTTTGTTATGGAGTGTTACAGGGGGAGAGGGGGGTCAATAAAGTTCAAAAATCACGTTACGTAATTTGTGAATGGCCCCTTACCCCTGGCTTACCCACTGGGCGAAGGTAGGGGATTCGAGTTTCCCCTTTGGCCTACGGGAACTCAAGCAGGACACGTACGCACTGTGGAAACCCCAGGAGCAATGGGGTTCCTATCGTTCCCTGCAGTCAACGGGAGCTCTTCCTGCGGAGGCAAAGCAAACGAACTCATCCCAGGCAGTAACGTATTTGTGAAGCAACCTCTTCCCTTTCCTGATTCTAAGCTAGACTCTGTGAAATGCACGTGGAGAACATACAGGGCGGGCCATAAATATGCATCCCACTTGTAACTTCTATTTTTGTACGCCTAAAAACAGCAAATAAAAAAATGCGTTTTACCACAATGTGAGTGTCTCTTTGGTGGTCAACCTATGCTATTTTAACATTAATCCTTCCCCGCCTAAAAATGGTTTAATTAAAAAAAAATTGTCTGGCTGACCACGAGCCAGAAATGTTCGAAGAATACGAATGACCCCCATACAACTCTGACCGTAACCAAATGGATTACTGTATGCGAAGTCTGCTGAAAGCAAGCTCTCATAAACGAAATCCAGCGACCTGAACCAGTCAAGGTTCGTGCCGAAAGAGAGTGAAACCACGTTCATCCTGTGCGATCGACCGGCAGTCTCAAAGATTCCAGGTTGCCGTCAAGAAGAAGGGGCACACATCGAACGTATCGGGTGAATAGTTACTGTGAGCCCCTGTGTCTTGCTGAGATTCAATTGATTCAATGAGAAGTTTTTAGTACAGGAAATTCAACACTTTGATTTGGTGTGAATATTTATGGCCCACCCCATTCCGTTGCATGGCAGAGTGCATCGAGCGGGATCCTAGACCGAGCTCTAATCTTACGTTTACCGCTCCCTGAGTACTTCAAAACGAATCTAACTTAACCCGCGTTTTCCATACATCGAGACAGATATACTTGCCAAAGGGTAAATCGAAGATAGTCTAGCGTCCACTTCAGAAATAAATTCAAGGTTAAGGCTAGAACGAGACAGACAGAAGCAGTGGTGGGGGACCTTTGCGGCTCAGGGACCACATGGCTCACCCCCACAACCATTGCAGTCGCTAGTATTGTAGGAGACTATTTTAACCATTTCAGACCCAGCGTCCATTCCAATGGACATTGCATTTTCATTGTGTCTATGGTAATTTCTTGGGATTCTCGTGATTTTGCGTCTCATATTACTGTAATGCACGGTGGGCCAGCGATGCGCAAAAATAATTTTCGTCCCGTGAAATGAAAGTCAGAGATAATGACCGTCATTGACGGAAAACGATTGAAGAGGTAATGACTTATTCCGGTGATACTTATTCTCGTCACTAGATGGCGCTCTAGTAGAGAATATGCCTGCGTACTTTTTGATGGTCGAAGTCACGTTTTAATGAAGTCACTGAACAAGATGGCTGAAGCTACTGGTAAGTTGAAATTTTTTTTTATCACGAAAAGTGGATGTTACCATGATGATCAACTTACTACCTTGCCACAGTTATCCTAACATGATCCTTCCATCACTTGTAGGAAAAATGTTAGTCCTTAGCTTAAGCAAAATCTCTCATTTTTCTGCTGGAAAAATTACATAAAGTTTAAAATACAAGGTCATTCTGCAGAATTCTATTTTCAAACTAGGATAGTGCGTAAGGCTTACCGTCTCTTGTGAGCCAGTCGAGTTTTTTGCAGATTATTGCAGATTCTTCTGATGTAAGCGAAATTGATATGCCTACTTTTCTGAGATTTTTTCTTTCTCGCTCCCTCCCAAGGACCACCGCTACGGCGAGGAGATATTTACAACTGGATGATGGAATGCAGGAGGAGTTTTGATTGTGAAAGCAGTCGAAACAAGCTTGACGGCTCGTTTGGGTCTTTAACCTTTACGCGCCGGAATTAAATTTCCCGTGTACGAGCCTTCTGCCGGAATTTCTTCAGGACATGAAAATGAAATAAGAAGTATCTTAGAAAAACAATCATATCTACGAAACTATACGCGTCAGGGAAACTAAATCGGCATCGTTGGAAGGTCGGCATATAGTACACGTAGAGGAATCGATTTAAAGCAGTGATGAGCAACCTTTTCTGACTGCGGGCCGCAAGTGAACCTTTTAGGTTCCCAGTGGGCCGCATGTATTTCCCCCCCCCCCCCACTGAATTACAAGTTTTATGCCTTCTGAGTACCAAATAATTCTAAGACTGGCTTAGTAAACCAGGTACCAGGTATGCTAATGATATGCAAATAACTAATTTTGAATTTTCTTCTCATCCTTTTACCGAGCAAAATACCAAGCAAGGCGCTTGCTCAGAGAGCAGTCATGCACTAACCAAGAAGAAAGTGAAGGGATAATTGCAACTGTGGTGGAAATATAGATTTTATGTTTAATTTCTTGCTTCCGTTTCTCCTGCAGTGGACAATGGAATCATTGAGCGCACATGCACTCTGCTCCGGATGGCACGTGACAGGAAAAAAAAATTCAGTTGACAAAGCCCCGCGGGCCGCACACTAGGACCTCACGGGCCACATGCGGCCCACGGGCCGCGGGTTGCTCATCACTGACGTAAGGTAATGTAAGGAGGAAGTGGGGTGGGGTGGAGAGGGACAGGGGCTAAGGGAATGCACGATGTCAATGCAAGTTCCCGTTTATGAGTATCGAATGTTAATGCTGAGGAGATTTCTTAGCCAAAATTATTTTTCCTTCGGTTTGGCATGGAGGACGATAAAGGAAATGCATATAAATTCATGGCGTTCTAAGAATCAAATGGTTTCACGGGCAGCAGAGTGGCAGACAGGGGCAAAATGTCGTGAGCAAAAGAGTTGCCGATACATTCTAATTACCAAAGTGATACATATTACATGTTGAATGTTTCAATGAAAAGAAATGACATCTTAGGCTACAAAAGTTTTCATTGACTGAACTGAGCACGAAGAGATTCTATCTCACATTCTGTATAAAAGCTCTCAAAACTCAGTTTTGAAACGCACAAGATTCCTAGGTCTTAGGTAATTTCTTTTGTAATGAAGCAACCTGAAAAAAGACACTGCATTAGAATTTTAATGAATAAAAGCGAAAACTGGATGGAAGCAACTGTCTTGTAAATTTTACTTATGTTAAATAAACATAAACACGCAAGAAATATATATTTATGCCGCGGTTAATCATCCAATCTAGAAAATCTGACAAATTGTAGTCTGCACAATACTGACGGGGGAAGGATGCGATAGAAAAGGTGGTTTCATTACTGTCATAAAGGAGTTATGATACGGACGCGCTCTGATGGCCAGGCACCGGAGGAGGAGGAACGTTCCACTCCCTAATCCTCGTCCCAAGAAATGGAGATATGCCACTCCCAAATGGAACGGTTTCAGAACCTTAGCCCATTTCCTTGATGTCCTTTTGACCCACTTACAGTAGCATAAGATTATGACATGAAAGGATGAGCAGGACTCGGGCTTACCCCGTTCTTCTCGCAGACCCCGCCTGCATTCTTCAGATCCCCTGTCCAGGCGAGGCCAAGGGTTCCTCCTTCGAAATCCCGATAGGTAAACATGTAGGCCAAGCAAAATGCGTCGTAGTCCTCCTCTGGAAAGTGAAAAGGGAAGTGAGTAAAATTCATGTCATCCAGGGCATTAAGAGATTGTGACTCAACATTGGGAAAGGAAAGTAGACCAACACGAATGAAAATGAAGTCTCCAGGATAGAGTATGATTTGTAGATTCGTACTTATTGAATAAATATTAACTTCGACTGTTTTTACTCCGAACCGGTCCTAGCAAAAACGAAGTGGAGGCGCAACAGGCTATAGACTGACAGCTCATAACTTTCACGAGTCTGCGTCCAAGTATCCAAGGCTACTATTGTCAGTTTGGGGTCTCCTCCCGTATTTTTTTTTAAATAACAGGCAATCACAAAAATACGGGAAGAACGACAAGAAAATGACTGGAATTAGCGTAGAGAAAAACTTCGCGACGCGAAATCGCGAAGTCCGTCAAGAATAAGAGGAAATAAATGTTGTTACTCTACGCTGACGACATTTAATCTGAAGATTTGCTCGAGGTCGGGTAGATTATACTCTACTCACAAAAAGAAGACTGTGATGAGCACATGCGCCAGGGGGGAGGAGTCCCAAGGGCCTTATATACTGGTACTGGTTTTCAGGTCAATAATATTGTTTCCGCCGAGATAGCTCAGTTGGGAGAGCGTTAGACTGAAGATCTAAAGGTCCCCGGTTCGATCCCGGGCCTCGGCACTTTCACATTTAAAATAAATTTCTTTTCTTTTTTTCCGCACGACTTCCCTCACTCTTCACTACTCCAAGGGGGTTAGAGAAGCGGTATTCTAAGTGCAACCCACAAAGATGAACTAATAATTGACTTTTTCACATTTAACTATTTTATCGGCACTCGTGAATAATCACTATGAACAATTTATTATATTCCAGATTTGGAATTCTCCGCTGAAAACTAGCAAGTTTTGTAAATTGGTTTTTTTTTTTTTTTTTAGATATTCAGACACTTATAATGCATGTCTACATTTTTATGCTTATGTATTTAGGAGTGCATTTGCTGAACTTGCCTAAAATTCGGACCATCCATATATTGAAGAGAAAAAATGTATTTCCACAAGTAAATGAAGTTAAGGAGAAAACAAATAAGGAGCATTTATCGAAAATACAACTTTTAACAAAACAGCACTTGGAAACGATGCGTCAACATGAGCTCTAACTCCAAGTAGTAGAAGTGTGTGTGGATGCGGCAGGAATAGGCAGTTTTCGATTTCCGCTCATTTTTCAAATGGGACTTTCTGGTTAAGAGTAGCTTGACTGAAGAGGTAGATGGCCAGATAAAGGGTTAACCAGGCAGAAGTATTGAATCTTTTTCAATGCACCCCACTCAAGTGAGGCCCTCGCCTTAATAAGTTTGAGGACCACTGGGTTAGAGCGATGAGGACGCGTCATTCCCCGAACCCAGTAATTCCCCCCCCCCCCCCACGGTTCATAATTGAAGCAAAAATTTCTGTAGGGGCGAGTGGGAGAGCTCTTCACTGGCTGGGTATTGAAGTCGGTTACGGACGAAGGGGTCCGTGTACCCACAGGCTCAGTGAGTTCAGAAAAAGGTGATGGCCATGGCATGGGCACACTTACCAGAGAAGAGTTCCAGGAATTTTTCCACGCCGTAGTTGCCAGGGTATCGATAGTTTGGATCTTGCAACGCCTCCGTCGTATGAACCTTGATCCTCTTGATCATGAAGTTTATGTCGTCCTGCTCCCCGTCTCCATCAAAGTCTGCAAACAAATAGCTCCTCGTCTCCCTCAATTCATCCCAGATACACAAGCGCTGGCCAAATAAAAATCAATGAAATTGTTATGATGTGCGATAGGAAACAAGAATACTCTGTATAGCACCACTATGGACTCCTTTCTGGTTTACTTTAAGTGGGACCCTCAGAAAGCACTGCTCTACCTGAATATGGGTGCGTCACTGATGGTTCTACTGTTATCTTTTTGCTTGTTATTGCGTTATTGTACAGCCCTTTTGTGTTCATCTAAATGTTCAAAGGCCCATGGATTGCGCTTGAAAATCGCATACTACCTACTGTGAGAATGTGAGACAAAACTGAGTTGTCTAGTTTTATTCCCCCGCTAAAAATAACCTGTATGGAAATGGAGAGCCTCAAGTTGGGTTGGGATGTGCGACTGTAACAAACAGAAACTTTAACTTCTGGTTGATCAATAACCAGAGGCATTCGATGATCGTGCCAGGATTTCTTCCAACGCTTTTCATTGGCCTCAAAACTTTTCTAACTATTCATGCCTGCAGATGGAATATTATTCAAGGTATCGGCACGAAATTAACGACGTCGCGTCCAACATGTCCATAACACCCTCTTAATTTCCCGTCCTCACTGTATGATATTCTGTCTGCAGGCATGTCAAGTTGAGAACTTTCTTGGGAACAACCCGAATATTAGTACCATATATGTTACGGGACAATTAGGACTCAACTTCGTCTCATAGCCAGAAAATAAAAGCACGAAAACAAATGCGATTTTTAAATGCAACGCACGCATTGATAATGAAAAGAAAAACCACAATCCAAACCTATCCACGTAAAGTTTGAGATGACTTCATTGTTCATCCATATTGGCACATGGAATGAAAAAAATTCCTATATATTCCGTCGAGAGACGTCCTCTTAGGAGGGTAAAAACAATAAAATCCTGCATCAGATACGTATCCCCAGGCCCATTGAGAGAAGTTAGGATTTAAGCATATATTCTAGCAGTCATTCCTTCCTCTGTATTTCTTACATCTACATATATATTAATAGTTTGCTTCGTCTTAAAAATACAAGCAACAATTTTCAAGGGTCATGTATCCATTGACTTGAAATGTCATCACTCGCTAGAAATTCGAGCGTAAATCAAAGTACGTTCATTATTGAACTTCTCCGCAAAGGAAATCCATAGTGGTTCGTTAAAGCTCGTGACTGACACTGCCCCCTTTTTTTATCGTACTTTTGCTGAGCGAGTGCATAGCTTCAAAGGTCATCAATCCCCGGAGGTTGACCCGAGGTCAGGGCTCCCAGTCTCAGCTGCCTTAGATGAAAATGTAGCTCATGTGAATTATGGAAGGCGAACTATTGAGATTGCAGGGGATGTGGGCAAACTTCATGTTACAATTCACACCATTCACATGCACATGAGAAAGATCTGCATTAAATGGATCCCTCGTGTCCTCACGCCAGCGAAGAAAAAAAAGTAGGTGGAAACAACTGCTATCTGCTCAGAAAATTTAGAGCCTGGGGGGTAGCGGGATGCAATAACAATGTACTGGAGATAAGACATGGGTTCATCTGTTTGAGTCCCACGGAAGTTGCACAACATGGCGTGGGTGGCAGGAAGTGGTGCTCTACCACCGGTTGCAAGGCGCCTGGCGAGTTCCAAGGTCTTTTACACGATTTTCTTCACGCCAGAGGGGGTTTTGGTCCACATACCAAAGCCAACTGGATGAACAGTCACAGGGGGCTTCTATTCAACTGAAATATAGCCTCCGGTGATCAACGTCTTCCAGAACCCCCGTCCAAATCAGCATCTACTGCTCCACCGTGTCAAATAACACCGTGCCCATCGGTCTGCCTTGGTTTTGGATTCCTTGGAGCGGAAAAACGTGGCAATGGTGCCTCACTTGATTCACCTGATTTAGATCCGTACACTTTTTGTTCACTCTGAAGAATGCCTCACGTGGGAAACGATATAGCTGCCGAAATGCTCTGGGGTCAACAATCTTCCAAAAAAGACTACGCAGGTGCTTCCAACAATGGAAAGAGAGATTGCAGAAGTGTATAGATTTGCAATGTTTTGAAATGTTTTGAAAATGCAAAGTGACTTCTTACATGTGGAAGTAAAGGAGAAACAGTTTCGTAGCAGAAACTTATTGATTGACCCTCATCATATATGGAACATCTTGACCGAAGGGATAACATATTTATAAGCCAATACGTGGGGTTTTATGAGAGTCCTCATTGTGTGTGATATACTCGGGCACACAATATTCATTATGTTAGCCTATCCCTTGACGTCGGGTTCCGAGCACACAGGCCTCACGCATGCAGTGGAGACTAAAATTTATCACCCTGGATTTTTGTCTTACTTTGGTAACTAAATGCTTACTAATTTTTCATGATTTATTTCAATTATGATTTCATTATTTTATGGATATTTTATTAATATATATTTTTGGTTCGCTAGTTATTTAGGCATTGGCTTTATTTAAAAAAATAATGTTTTTCTAAGTATTTTAGATTTAAGGAAATTTTGCATTGAAACTAATTGCAAATCAAGTGCTAGAATGACAAATTTTATTCATTATTTATTGCAGAAACATCGTAGAGAAGAACAATACGTGTTCGTATAATGTAATCCTTAGTTCGTCTTATTGTCTTCATGACATGACATAACATACACGGTTTTCCAACGTGACTGCCCGCAATCATAATCGGGTAACAATTGGTTTATGTTCTTCATAAATGACCCTTTATATTGGTAAATAATGACAAAAGAAATAACAGATAATCATTTGATAGAGTCGGGCAAAATTGTATGCATTGTATTAGCTGAGTCAAAGATTTGAAAACTTCAAGGTGATGGAATAATTTTGACCACCTCTGTAGATTCGCAAAACGAAACAAACTACTCCCCTCCCATCTCATTTATCAGCTTCGTTTTCTTCATAGGAAAATCAATTTTTTTTCTTTAAATGAATATGGATTCAGGCTGAATCCGTGTTGACATGTCATGTTGTTCGTGTTGCTTAATAGGCTGAATTGAATCCACGAGAGAAGCTAATACATCCTTGAATCTCGATGAATCGGCCTCCGCTCTGCCCGATGAGAAATTCCCATGACCTTTAAATATGTCTCCTTCACTCCGCGAAGGTCGAGGGAAGGGGCCTTCCGCATTCCCTCCCTTCTTTCTTCGTAGAGGAAGTGTGGGTCTACAAAATGGGAGGGCGGTGGACCCGTCAAGGGCTTCACCAGAATAAATAATGAATGAAATTTGTCATTCTAGCACTTGATTTGCAATTAGTTTCAATGCAAAATTTCCTTAAATCTAAAATACTTAGAAAAACATTATTTTTTAAAATAAAGCCAATGCCTAAATAACTNAGATGGGGTTTTATATGCTGCCCCCCCCCCCCCCCATTTCCAAAGAGTTCTAGTTTTTCAGTCATCTTACTCCAGGTCTTTTTTCCCCTTCTTCGGACTGGGATCTGAAGCTGAACCGATTTGCAGGAAATATTCTTTCCTCCTCCCATTCTGTATTGATGAAGATCGAGTATTTGCCTGCAGATCCACTGGGCATTTCCCTTCCACAATGGCATGGATCACCTGACGTTAATTCTCCACGTTCACTCACGTACGCTTTTTGAGTGTGCCACATGGCAATACCGTGATTTTGCGTAATCAGCCGTGAAACAATGAGCCCCATCGACGTCGGGAAATCCTGTTGATGGGAAATCTGATGCTATGAATGCTCTGCGTACCACCCCAGAAGGTACATGACATCTGTGTCAACGCCACTCGTAACAGTACAGGGTAGAGGTTACTGGTTCTTCGTGTGGCGGCCTTGCTCAACCCCTCGACCAAATCACTCACATTCTGAAGACGTGACTCGAGTGGAAACCTTCCATTATTTCTGTCTGATGCATATTATCCAGAATATGCAAAAGAAAGTAGAATATGCAAAAGAAAGTTTTACTTCAATGAGGAGGCGGAATTAGCCAAACGTATTAACGCCAAATCGGAATAATGCTAACCGGAACAGCGTCGAATCGCCACACAACAGCCTGATACTCTCGTTTAATCGTACTCTGTTCAAATCGCTTTTCGCATTTGCAACGTACTGCGCGGTAAGTGTGTCTTCTCACATCTCTTGTTCTGTAGTGTGATGTAACTGGCACGAAATCAATAAAATTATCTTTAGTTCCCAATAAAACACAAGAGAAGTAGAGTTTCTAGTGTCATCATCAAGCCTAAAACCAACTAAATTCAATCAACCCCTTCACTCTCAATTTCCTTGGCATGCCCTTAAGACACCTTGAAGATTCTCCATTCAGTCAAACACACGCAAAACACAATCCTCCATTTGAAAACCTTTTTTCCGAATTAAAATATAATCCAGGAAATCAAATATGAAATGAAATATGGAAGGAAACTATATGAATATTTTTACATTCCTCCTAAATTTCCTCCCGCATAATTGCGCGGTCACCTGAGAAGTAGGGTTCGGGAAAATGAACGAGACAGGAATAACGCTTTTGGGAAGTATGTGAAACACACTTACGTCATCTGTTTGCAGTCGGAACTAATTCCCCCTCGCTCCTGACTTTCTGCCTCATTCCACATCGACACTATTTTAGTTGTCATTGCTCCGTTCGTCGCTATTCCAGTTCAGCATTGTTCCGGTTGGAGTCATTCTGTTCGCACTTATTCTAGCGATCCGCCAGAAGTGATTTCTCTGCCAATTTGTCACTTTCTCCTTCCAAAAAGGATTCTGATGAGATCGAATTGGCCCATCAATAAATAAATTCAGTCAAAATTTCGGCATTGTCGATAGTAATTTTCATGAATCAAAACCGCTCCTTTCTCTGTCTCTGACTTCACTGTCAATAAGACGATAATGTAATAATGCCTTTTCTCCGTAATGCAAATGTGCCTCGATTAAATTTTGTTAAGTTTCATTTCACAAGAACAAGTCGTTCCATACCGCAATTATTTCCCATTATCCCATCACTCTATCCCATTCGGGAGTAAGCAGCACAGGCCACTTCCGCTTGCCCTCCCAATATGTTTACTCAACCGAAGGAGGGCACGCAGGAGCTGGAAGATCGGGCTCTTACCAGTAACTTTGTAGATGCTGTTGACCCTTTGGACATGTCGGGTCATGGCATGGATGCAGGCCTCTTCGTCGCCCATCTCTTGATAGAACAAATGATCCGCCTGTGGCATTCAGTTCAGTTATCAATTTTCAGTAAACAACGGCGCGGAATGTTAAAAGACTAGTGAGCGTCTGACGATGAAGACCTACCTGGAGATAGAGCATACAGGTGATTTTCTTTGGGTCTGTGGGCTGTTTCTTCTTCTTCCTCTTGACGACGGTCGGACGAGCGCGTGCACGGAGTCGGTCGTGCGACTCATTCGGCAGCCAATGAGCGAGGAGATTGGAGCGGATGGGCGGGGCTTGCCGGCGACCACGGGTCCGGACAGCCACCCCCAGACTAGATTCCTGCTCCTGCTGCGGGTGGTCTTCGTCTATCACAGTCACTGTCGCATTGTGGGATGAAGGCGAAGGAGAGGTGGGGGGTCGCAGATGCAGTCGGAGGGAGGCGCACGGGGACTCCCCAACCGGGTTCCGCACGTCCTTCTCTTTGTATATCACAGAATGGAAGTCTGAAGACGGGAAATACCGGGACGCGGGTTCGATGTAATACACCTCATTCCGAGAGATCACTGTCCCGTCGAATATTCCTTCGTCTGTCACCAATCCCCTCACCTCCGTCTCCTCGTCATCTGCATCAGTGGATGAAGAATTCAATGAATTTACAATGAATACATTCTTGACTCGTCACTACAGAGAATAGGATCAGAGAAAGCTTGTTCAGTCCAGTAGTGAGCCTTTTTTCGCAGGTAATAATAGCATGATAAACATGATTGACAATGATACTTTACGGCTGGGAAACGGGGAGAAGTGGACGATGTGAAGACCTGCCAGATGTCGCAGTTAATGATTTCTCTAACAATCCTGTCTGCGTTGTCCTGCACAGCCAGCGCTCGAATTCGATTTTTTTTTTGAGCCCATCTTACCGAATCCTGTTCTCTTCAGCACAAACAATTACTTGCGTGAGAGCTTGACGTCCTTCAGGCGATGACAGAACGCCATCAAGCCCTTTCCGCCCCCCCCCCCCCCATTTGGACTTCGGCCAGATGGCTCAGGTAAAAAATCAGCCTTGGCGGCATACTATCCCCCCCCCCTCCCATTTCGTACACTGCGTGCAGCATAATTCTACATTTAAAAGAAGAATCCCTCAGCTATAAAGGTTGAATAAAACAGGCCAACGTTGACACAGACATAGGCATCGAGTTTTGCTGAGTCGCACGCATGGAATCGACTCCAGAAGCCTGGTGGCAGACGGTGCTTTTCCCGAAAATTGTAATTGTAAAGTGCAAAATACAAAATGACTTTTTGGCATGAATTTCAACCCTTTCAGTCCTGGCGGGGCTCAGGAGTCCCACATTTTCCCCGTATATTTTGCAGGGTTATATAGGAATGTACGACCTTGAGGCCTAGCGGGACTTCTGAGTCTCTGTGACCTCTTTGGGAATGTGTATTTTTGTAGCTAATGACGTTTCATTGGGGACGGTTGAATAAGGAAAATTCGTTTTTATATCATCTAAATTTTTCAATTCAGGACTGAAAGGGTTAACCAAGAACGGAGTGAATCTGCATCCATCCGTATAGCAACTTTCACAGCTATCAGAGCAATATTTACGCTAACGTCGGACAATGAAAGTGGGAGCATAGTAACTAGATGGGAGTATACGTGTTTCCTACCTTTTTCGAAGACCCACGAACAAACAAAACAAAAGTCACTGACCTTCGAGTCTACCGGAATAGAAGCGCTGGATATCAAAGAGGATGGGGCCTTTGGTGGATTCCAAGGAAGCATCCGGGGCGAAGATGGACGCATCTCTCCGCATTCGGACCTTGAACAATCTGAAAATATTGTCGGACAAGGGAAAATTTTAAAGGCACTGCAGTCCAAGAGAATTCAACAAGGTCTGTCTCCCTAGATCTACAAAGGGGCAATTTTTTTTTCCTTCTTTATGTCAAGGTGGAGTGACGCTGATTGTGCTCGGATGGGGAGGAAATGAAGATGCCAGAAGAGAAGAATGAAGAAGACTTCGGGGGGAAAAGAGCTTGTTTCTCTCTATTCCATGAAATCACTTCCATCTCTCGATAACGAAGAACCACTTGAAATAATACATTGGTTTGTAAAGGTCGATTACGGTAAGATAAACGAGATTAAAACGAAATTGATGAGCAACGTCGTCGACTTAGATCCAAGAGGAATGCGTTGAAAGTCGGCGAGGAGGAAATAAAACACCTGACTCAGAGCTCAGCTGGACGCGATGATGCAAGAGAGGGAGGAGATGAGCTCCAATGATTCGTGGCGAAATCCTTGCATGCATGGTTGGAAATGTTGAAAACAAGAAAAGAATAAGTCTCCCTTTTCAAGTGTGTGTCCGATTGAAATATCCTGAGGGAATCGAAGTGAATGACGCAATCCCAACCAGATAAGACACTTCGTCATCCTAAGGCTTCAGACCATCTCTCTCGTAAGACGATCCCAAATGAATCCTCATTACGATGGAAAAGTTCTGCATGTGAAGCTCGAAATTAAGAATAACCCAACTGACATGGCATTCTTGCGTCTCTTCCCCATCTTTTTAACATAATGTAGTTTTGTCATAGATTTCGGTTCTTTCAAGACCATGTACTCTCTGATGTACTTCGTACCATTTTCGTTAAAAGCAGTTGCAAGAGCATTAAATTAAATATAATATTTGCGCAATTCATTGACACACTGTTTGTGCCTTTACGGTTATCAGTCTGTAAGACTGGAACTTTAAATGGAACGCTTGTCACGAGAGTAAGAATTTTACTTTCAAATTAAGATACCCTTCCAGGGAGAGGCATTTGTATGCTGCAGTGGGGTTAAGAAAGAGGGGTAGATGTACCTGTTGTGAGCAGTGAATTGGAAACGGATGTCATCGGCGTGTGGGCCATCTCTGAGCCTGAGAGATCGCTTGTGGCGAGCATGCTCCTCCGCCAGGTGTCCGCGGTCGTAAAAAAGCGGCTCGAAGTTCCCGATGAAATCATCTAACACCAATCCTAAAAAGGGAAATTGCTTTCGTTATTCTCTTCAGAAGTGGCTCCTTCCGAGGAAATCCTTATAATTCAGGCATAGGTTTCCAAGAACACAATCAGCTCTCGCCCATGCCCTTCACAGGACAATGACCATATTCTTATTGCATGAAGCTTGTACGGAATAGCGGTAACATGGTGGCTTCTCAGATTCATAGTTTGCCCTCGATTTCTTCACTTTTCGCCTTTGACTCTAAACCACATCAATTTGTGCCAGACGGGAGAGGGAGGAACCAGGGTTTGAAAACATCCACAATCCATTCCCCTTAGCCCTCCTCTGCAACCAGCAATTCCATTGACCTATTTCTGGCATCGCTCTGCACGAGCTCCAGGAAAACGTTTCTCATCGATCCCCTCAAGGCCCTCCTTTCTCTTTCCCCAATCTATCTTCTATTGCACCAAGACTCGGTCACACGAGCCTATTTTTAGATGCTCCTTTGATTATGATGAAAGCAGAAATTTTATACTTTTTTTGCCAGATTACACAACGATCTTTGCATTAGCATGGGATGAATTGAAAGTCGTGGGTGTAAGTAAAAGTGAAAGTAAGTGTGTATCTCGATCACAAATGTTCCCCTTGGATTCCCCTAAAATGACTCCTGTGGTAACCCAAGAAGACGATTGCAGTTGCATACGCCGTTTGCCTCCTATTAGACCGTACAAGGAGGCGGAAAAAGCCATCATCTTGAACGAGTGACGTGAGTTTGTTAATAAATATAAATGAAATTACAAGGCATGTGAATAAAGAGCTTAAGCCATCTTAATTTATCGATCTTAAGTTATTGCTATTGAATTTATACACCCATGATTGAAATTTGCAGATAATCAAAATCTATTACAGCTTCAGCATCGATGTCGATAATGACTGTCTAAGGGCAACATAGTTGCCTATGCAGCTCAACAAGTACGAGGCATGAGTATGGGTTCAATGCTACAGGAACGTGTTATCATTAAATGTATGACTCTTATGTCATTCCGAAATCTTTAATGTCAGAGAGAACGACGAAAACCTCGATAATTCAATGAGAATTCCACCATCTGGTAGCTACTCCTGTGATGATCGGACTTCCGCATCTGCACCGTGTTCCTATATAGCAGACGCATCGCGGTCACACCGAACATCATCATCAAAAGTTGGAAATTTCAATCGAGTCCACGATTCAGATTAAATGTGAGCAATTTTTGGATCATTTTTAATGCTAACAAGTCTGACATTCCGGATGGCGTTATTCTGTATGATACGGTCAGGGAATGCATGACAAACTTTCCAGGAGCACCCGATCCACTCTAGTGCTGGCATTTTGTCTGGATAATCATGGGAAATAAGAGGCTTATTTGATTTGCGCTAAAAGCTTGGATTGCAAGAACTTCTCGAAATTGAAGCTGAAAATCGCAATTAAGAAGCAATTATTCCTGATCTTCACGCCAAGTACTCTACTTCGGCGTACTCCAACATGACTGAGCTGACTCTCAGAAGTAAGTTGGCTCTTTTTAAATACCTCTTACCATGTGTTATTCCGATTGCTCGTGTCCTCGTTGCCTTATTATTATTGATATTTTAAGCATTTCTGTAGGCCCCAAACCACTCTCCATTCTTGGAGTTGTTTTGTCATTAATCAAGATTTTTCAAATTTAAGAACAAGGAAATCAGTCAAATTTGACTGATTTAAACTTAAAAATTGCAAAGCAATCGCAATAACACATGATAGGAGGGACTCATCAAAATCAAATTTCACTATTGAGACTGTCAGCCGTCTGTGTTCGGCCATGGCATAGGGTAAAGCCGGTAAAGAGTAACGCACAGCTACCATCTTCACTGCGACTTTCGGTACTTCAATTTCGAGAAGTTATTTCATTTACGACACTGGATAGCATCATTTTAAATTTGCGGAAATATTCATTATCCATCTGAGATTTCATATGCAGAAAAACATGAGTGATCACATGTAATAAGATGGAGACACTTGAAAAATAAACGGGCGCCATTAAAAAAAAAAATTAATTAGACAGTGTATATTGGAAGACGATGGGTGGGTCACAGGTCCAGTTCTCACAGGTAGACTCTTCTGCTTTGTCCATCCTACTTGAACCATCACTAATGGATGTGGTGAGGGAGAGGGGGGGGGAGGGCTGGAATGATACGATAGTTCTTTTTCCTTGTCCCTCCCTCACTCCCTGATGTTCCACAGGCGTGATTCGGAAATTCTGGAACTAACGGTTCTTCGGATGGAACCAGGATCAGCGAAGGATGTTGAACCTGACCTACATCCTTCATGAAGCCTTTTAAGATCAAGTATGGTTCTTGTGACGGTGAGTTCTTCATACAGTGAATGAAGAGTGGAAGAGACTGGAAACCAGTCCTCGTTTCAAGGACTCTGCTCCATCTCTCTCTCTCCCTCTCTCTCTTTGTATTACGACACGACGGACTTTCTTCTTCCATCACGAACTGCCAACCGATATGCAATACACCCCCCGCTCTACCTTCATGTCAATCTGTCGAGGCAGACCCTTTCATCCGTGAAGCGGGGAGTCTAGGAAGAGGGAAAGACGATGATCAAGTTCCTCATTCAATTTGAAAGCTTTTCATCTAAATGAGAGCGATGTCAAGAGAGATGAAGTAAAAGGAAGACGAAGGTCGACGCGAGAAGCCGATATATCGCATGAGGCCACGCCTAGCTCCATCTTTTTCTCCCATTCTTCATGACGGGGGGGGGGAGGAAAACCTTGAGCCCCTCGAATCATTCCCTCCAAATGAGCCGACGGTAATCGCTTCCTCAGGCTCCTTGCCAAAAAAACATATCTTCTGAGGCCACTTCCTTCCCTGTTTTTTTTTCTCTATTTCATAATCTTCATCCTCCTCTCATCGTGGATTTGCACAGAACAGCCCATCTTATTTACACTTCTTCGGATGACTGGGGGGCGTGACAGGGAGAATTTCGGCTTGGCATTACTTCGCATGACCACGAGAAAGTAGGTTCACGGGGGAGGCTGAAGCGTTACGTCATCATCATCGCAATCACGGTCCAGTGAAACGCAAACACACGCTCTCCGAGATTCCTTTCTCCGTCCGAAAGAAGGAGACGGATTGAGGAGCATGAAGAACCGTATGTACAAATAAGACGGACATTGTATTGTGGTCATCGAAAGGAAGACCTTGAACGTACCCGAAGAGGGAGGGGGAAAAAAAGAGGGGTGGATTTTTTTTTGTTGTTGCTCAAATGACTCGGGCTGGGGTCTTCAACCGGACAGAATACATACAATGGACAGGATTCCACTCGGCCATTCATATGAAGACGAAAGTGTTTTCGAGTTCAAGGATTCATCGCCTTTGTCTCTCTTTTAGGCCTGAATTCCTTCTCGTCCCTCCCAGTCTTACTTGGATGGGGTCAGATAGGAATTTCCTGCTCTGAAGAGAAGGAAGTAAAGAGAAAAAGGTGGTGTGAAATGTCCGTGGAAGTAGATCAATAGAAGCCATCAAGGAAGGAAGTGAATGTGATGGGTGTTTAAATGAGATGAGGGTAAATGACGTAATGCATGCAAGACTTTTTCTTGACTGGCCAAGTAAGACGGGGAGAACCCAGGCTTGATTCCTCCTTTGCTCATTCTTTTCTTACTCAGTGGGCACCCTCTTTCACAAAGGAACCCGTCTGAGCACCCCAGCCTCCTCCCAATCGTCGGAGGAAAAAAAACGAAAGGCAAAAAAGAAATAAAGGAAAAATAACACGCTGGTATGGGGGCACGATTGAGCAAAAAATGCTGTCATTACAACCCCCCCGGTATTCGGATTAATATTTATTTTTACCTGAGTGCAAATTCGGGGGAGGAGGCCTTGATCGCTGCATCATCCCAAGTTTCTTTTTTCAGGCTTTCTCCCGTGATTTTTATGAAAATATGTTATGGAAAAAACAACGTCAGATACTCAGCTTGAAGTTGCATTAACCCCCATGTTATTTTGGAATCTTTATATTTCTGCATCACTCCTTGCCAAGAGGAAGGCGAAGCAGCGATGGGAAGTGCATGACCTATTGACCGGTGACCGATATCTTAGATTCATGGTTCAGTTCATGTCCAGCTTTTTTTCTCCTTCCACGCACCCTTCATTGCCTTTTACACACCGTTCAAAGCATCATGTTTTTTTTATTTCTCTCGAGAAGGAATGTAGGGCGTGACGGACCGACGGGGGATCCGTTTTAACCGCAATCGAGGAAGACGTGCGAAATCTTGCCCTGATCTGGCAGAGATCTCCCGTTTCTTTCACACGTGAACTCTAGACGAGAACTCATCACTAAGAGCCACCTAGCTGAAGGGGGGAGGGGGGGGGGGGAAGCAAAAAGAATCGTGGAACGCGTGGAATCGCCTATTAAAGTGAACATTTCCAATGTTCCAAAGAATCCACTCCACGTTGCTGTTTGGATTGACATGCAACACAGCTCAACAGACTTGAGAAATGTATGTACTCTCCTAAAAGAAAAATGATCGATTTCGCGTGAGTACAAGGCAAGTTAGCGATAATTTCACTTCCTCAAAAAAAGAGAGTAAAATTGTTTGTTACTCTTTTTCTGAGTAAAATTTTTTTAGGTGGAGAAAATCGTCCCTCCTTCCCCTACACTCCTAAAAAAAAGAGAGAGAGAGAGAGAGAGATGAGCGATTTTGCTAAGAAAAAAGAATTTGGAGATTATCCTCTTTTTGGAGAGTAAAATAGCTTTCTCCAGCTTTACTCATTCACTCACTTGTTTTTTAAGTGAGACTATTCAGGTATCCTTAATCCTCTACGTTTTACAGTACAACGGCTTCGGTATGTATGACGTCACCGCGACTATCTCGTTGAAAGTAATCATGGCATCCCATTACGCCATTTCGTTACGCACCGATTACTAACGGAAAGTGAAAAAAAAATCACTGGGCGGCCACTAACAGAAGTAAAAAACTAACGTGACCATCGCCACAGGACTATAATTTCAAAAGGTCATTAGACCTGTACTGCACTTCTAGACAAAGGTATTTTTCTTCAGAATAACTTGCTATCGCTGCTATTTTTTTTGTCTAACTTGTTGCATCAGTCGATCACCATCCAGCCTGCTAGAGGAAGTAAAGCCTTTGGGTCTTTTCCCTCCATTTATTCAGGGTTTTCTCCCATACCATTGGGACTCAGTTTTTTCTTAATAATGGGAATTTGTCTCCACAGCAACACCACGGAATCCCCTTTCGAGCCAGATCTGAGTAAGAAGGTGAACTCATACACTGCGTTGCTCGGTCCGACCATACAGCAGCCACTCTTCTAGCAGTGCTTAATCTATTTTAGCTTTCCCTCCGCCTCGAAAAAGAAGTGAAAACTGATCTTTAGACTTGAGTTCAATCCAGCGTGGTTTGGCTCCCTGATTACGAGGAAAGTGTCTCGTTCGCTTCCTCGGCACGCGACGGGATCAATTTCTTCACTTTTGAGCTTTACTCATCTCAAATAAGATCCAACCAGAGAGTGTATATGAACGATTCAAACGATATGATTCAATCGGGCGGTCACTCCTCCGGTTGAGGAGCCGTTTGCAGGATGTAGGGTAGTTCCATTTTTACATCTGCGTCTATGTCTACAGTGTTGGACAGATGGATCATTTTTGATGTGGAAAATGCGCACATATTCTCTGGAGGAAAACATAGGTTCCAACTAAATACGGGTAGTTTTAAGCCCCATTCTCATGAAAATGCATGTCTATTCTCTTCAAATTCATTATAATAGAGGATATCTCTGCAAATGCACGCATTAACAAATCTCGTTTGCTGATCTCAAGACAAGGAAATTAGTGGGCTCGGCACATAATTATAGATAAGGCTTAGGGAGATCGCAAGAACTACAAGAGACCCTATTTACATTTTCTCCCACAATTGAGTAGACTTTGTTCTAGAAGGGATGTCACGATTCCCCTAAGAAAATATGTTCTCCGAACAAAGGAAATGCAATATTACAGGGAAACGTAACCTTAAGTACTCCTAGGGTTTTGAGGGTTTTATGTACAAGTAAGAAAGTGATGTGCCTGACATGTAGCAACGCCGCAATAATACGTAAAATAATTTTCTAATATGAATATAAATAAATATAATTTTCAATGAGATTTAAACCCCCCAAAATTCAT